TCCTGGGGCTCTTGCTGCAGGAGGACGGTTGAGGAACGTGGGTGGCTGTGAGGGCAGGTGCTACTCCGGAAGGGCCTTTCCAAGACAGCAGCAAATCCACAGCCTCCTAGGCTGATTTTTGGGTTTGGTGTACCTTACCAAGTTTCTTTATCGGTTTCTCATATTACCTGTCCGTGTTTTATCACTGCCAGTTTTACCTTTCTCATTTTATTACATACTGCTTTCCTTCACTTTCTCTCTTAACCCAGGTGTTATTTTAATCAAAACCGCCTACTTTCAAAATGATGGAGTTATCTAATAAACTGGTGTTTAGCAATCTCCTTTTCATTTTCCTATTTTTGACAGTTTTTTCCTCCATGTGCATTTTTACTCTTCATACAGAATAAACCAGTGTTAAGTATCATATAACATGTCTGTTAACTGTCTATTTTAAACGTGTATTTGGTTTATGATCAGCTTGTCACAATGAGGTCTGAAATGCAGAAAGAACAGCTTCTGTTAACGTTCTTACAGGGAGGAACAAGTCCCTGGTACATTGCCTCGTTTTCTCAAGACTTTTTTTCTTTTAATACGGTCTTTCTGACATGCAAGTCTTTGCTGTCTGTAGCTATTTTTACGTGTAACTTCAGAGCCCCAGCAGTATTGTTCTATCATGTATCAGTATAATAAAACTATCCTCTTTATATTGGCAAAGCTTCTGTTGTCCAAATACTGAAGACTGAGGAGTTTGTCTAGGCGTTCGTTGCTCAGCATTGACATAAATATCACAGTATACAATCAGGCCAGGAAAGCTATGTGCCATTCCTTGTTGACTTCAGTTTTACAGTGCTGAAATTAGTGGCAGTCCTTCCCTTCTTCATAGAAGACTTTGGTTCAGTCCCATGCTGCTGACCAAAGGTTCTGTGCTAACAAGTGGGCTTTGATTAATGCTGAGTTTAAATAGTATTTTCAGTAGATTATTAAGCTAAGCATGCTATAGATAGCTTATAGGTAGTTAAACATGTAGTGATGGGTCAATAATTGACCAAAAAATGTTTAGTCCATACAGACTAAATACATAATTTAGTGGTATTCTTTGTACAATACTATTAATGTAATGCTTTTATTAACATAAATACATACTGCATATTTGATTTGTTAGAGAAATCTTGAATCTAAATACAGTCATCTTCTGCAGTCAGAAGCTAAGCTTACAGCAGCATTCCTTCACCAAAAGTGGAAAATCGCAAGAGTCTTCCCTGAGAACACCGCAGGAGTAAATGGTGTAAAATTTATTAGAGCAGAAGGAACTTCACTTTATTGAAGGCGGGGGATGTGAAGGGAGCTAATTTTTGTGGACGGCAGAGAATTGTTGGAAGTGAATCATGCTAGGGATAAGATTATAATTAAGCATGAAAGCAATTTAAATAGAGATACGGTGGCTTTCTCATCATTGGAGTCCTTGGATGGTGAAAGTCATGGATTTGATGCAAACGGAGTGGCTGGTATGTGGACAGCATTGCAGCATTGGTCAGACTAGATGTCTCATTGTGTCTTTGCTTTACAATCTGTAAATCTAGCTCATCCCCACTCACTTGCTTCCAGCTAAGTATTGTGGTCTGCTCAGGACTTAAATTACTTTATTGATTCCCCAAGTGTCTTTTTAGGTAGCCTACATGAGAACAAATAGAGAAGAAACTAAACAGTGTTACAAAGCGCATAGAAAGACAGGTGGTATGTACCACAGAAAAAATGAATCTTGACTTACCCAATTTTTTTGTTGTTTTGTTCTGTTTTTCAGGTAGCTGTGGGGCTTCCTTGGACCTTACTTAGTCCTTGAAGAGAAACTACCTGGTGTCTGGGAACAACTGCATGGCTTTCCAGTTCAAGAAGCCTGTTTGCCAGTAGAGAGCTTGCCCGTGTTGCACTGTCACAAGGTGGGAAGAAGAGGGTTTTATCATGGGCATTCAGAGTGGGGAGACTGCTAACTTGCCTCCAAACAGTAAGGACTCCTCTCCTATTCCAGCAGCCTGCTGCTGTGCCCTAGCACCAGCATGACTATCAGCAGAACTGGGCAGGATGTAGGCTCTGTGCTTGGCTGTCACTTGCTCTCAGTGTTCCGTGGGGAGTCCCGCAGATAGTGTGCGTGCAGGGCTGTATCCCAGGCAGCTGCTGGGCCATTTGAAGCGAGGTCAGGATGCAGAAGCAGAGTCTGGAAGCAAAGGGGATTGAGGACACCCATGCTGAAAGCCAGACTTCCCTTTCTCCTGCCTGGCTTGTCTGGTGAAGTGGGAGCATGTGGCAGGCTGTGTTCTGTTGCCCTGAACGTGCAGCTGCTTCCCTTGCAGTTTCTCCAGAGCTTCATGCAAAGTTCCCCGCTGCAAACATGGGCAGATCAGGGCCGGGACCGAGAGTGCAGTTGCGAACTGGCAGTGTGGGGGTGTTTGCATGTACTTTTGCATTTCTTTCTTTTGAGACCAGGTCAGTAACTTGTCTCATTTGACCACTATGATTTTGATCTGATGCTGGGTAATTAGAGAAGACAGCAAAAATGAATAGGGATCTGAGCCTTATTACAGACACAGAGGATAAGAGTTAAACTTATCCAGGGTAAATGGGGGTCTAAAGGGAAAGGTCATGATTGGCTGTACATAATTGAAGTACAAAAAATAGTATTAAGAAAAAAATTATTAATAAGGATGAGATGGATCATCAGAACGAAGGATGCTAAGGTGTGGAGTGGCGATAGGCATATCTTATTGCAGCTGTCTGAGAGTTTCATGCTATGGAGAGAATAAGTGATGTCTTGGAATTCTTAGTGCTAAATGGGACCTCGAGCAGATCCTACTCCATCTTCAGGCTTTGTTTTGCTAGAAATGAGGATACATGTGAACGATTATTCAGTGGAAGGTTGTTTGAATATGCTGTTATTCCCCAATCTTTTTTGGACTGCAAGACTAATACTTTGGAAAGGCAGGTGTGATAAGTGTATATCCTATTTGGAGGAGGATTTAAGAGGTTAGAGATTCCTTATGTTTCAGTGGTAGCCTTCGGCCAGGTTATCTTTAAGTGACTATAGAATCACAGCTTCAGAATCTTCAGGTGTTCTAAACATATTTTTTTATTCAGCACCATTCACAGAAATAATCTTTCTTGTACAGGAAGTGCCCCAAAATACCTGCAAAAGAACAGGTAACAGTAGTTTAAATAAAGGACTGAATTTTGGAGCTCTTGTTTCCCCTAGGAAGCCTAGTGATTAGGCCAAGTACTTAAAGAAATTTTTTTTACAGAATTGACCGCTCTAATTTGGCAACTAGAGGAAAAATAGGTACCTCTGTAATGCCATTTTGTAAGGCTATCTGACTAGTGCCTATTTAACATTAAAAAACAAAAAAAAAAAAGACAAGAAACAGGAGGGGTAATAAATTAAACACATAGATACACAAACCCTAACAAACAACAGTTAGCAGAGACAGTAACAAAGACCAGAAACCTTAAATCAGGGGAGCTATTACAGGAACCACTGAAATACAACCTTGAAGAAGCTGAGCCAGATTCTTTGACGATGTGTGATAATTGTGTTTTATTTTTCGTATCAGAATGCGTCTTCTAGGAAAGAGTAAGTTTACAAGATATTTTTGAGGGAGGATTGTGGGACTGGGGAAAAATATTATGGGATTTTTAGGGGGATCAAAACCAGTTCTGCACTCCACAATTGATATATAAATATTATTTTAAATGTCTTCTAATTGTATAACAGCAAAGTGGCCACATGTGAAGTAATGCAAATAAATGTTAATAATTAAATATAACTGTTTGTTATAAAACCTTTTGTTTTGTAATTTATGTTTGACATTCACCTGTGTAGTTATTTCTGTAACTGTTGAACTATGACATGTAACCCTTTTATAATCAACAAAACTAGCTTTCACTTAGTTTCCCTTTCATACAGACCCTTTAAAAAATTATGTAAATATACTCTGTCATGGACTCACAGAATTAGTGAGATTGGAAGGGACCTCTGGAAGTCTTTAGTCCAACCTCGCTTCCT